TCGCACAGTATTGTTAGGACCAACCATTTAAAAATCCGTTCAAAAAATAGGTACTAGACCAATAAATTACATATTTACCACAAATAATTAAACGATTTAATATTTTAAATCAAACATTTAAAATTTTAAACTGATCAAGGAATAGTTTTAGAAAAACCTATTAATTGTGTTTTTAAAGTTAAACTCTGTGGTCAATATTTTTAAGTTTCAAGTTTAGAAAAAATGATATTGATAAAAATAACATAATATATGAATTATTTAAAAGAAATTAAAAAAATTATAAAAAAAATTATAAAAAAAATTATAAAAAGAACAATATTTAAAAGAAATTAAAAAAATTATAAAAAAAATTATAAAAAGAACAATACTTAATTTACAATATAACAATATTATACATTTTTAATATTTTTAAAAATCAAAACTTACCTAGGTATGGAAATGAAATAATAATGTAACTATAAATACTGAAAATGTTAGTATAATGACTATGACTTATGGATTAAATGTTTTTTACACTAAAATATCTACATTCTACATTTTCTAAATTTCCAAAATAATAAGAACCCGGTTGTCTTTTTGACATCTTGGACCTTTAAATTATATGAAGAATACAGCAGAAAAAAACTAACCAATAAAATATAAATTTCCTTTTAAATTGTTTAATTATGATATGTAAAGCATAATAATCAATCTGACTTAAGGTACGTATCAATAGGATACTATTTTTGTTTTAATCAAAGGAACTTTGCAAAGTACTTTATACAAGTAAGAATTATTGTGCTATATGAATATGTGCGTAAAAAAAATGTTGGGTGGTGAATCTGTGAGATGTTGCCCTAGTTTAACAAAAACTGAAATGACGGCAWTTATATTTCATATTATCATATATTATCGATTTGAGTACTAATTACTGGCACAAAGAAAATTGCGAAAAGTTAAATTTGGAAGGTAGGTGGGGCGGTACTGGTTTGCGCACAAATACCAACAAGATAACTTGTTTGGGCACAAAACTACCACTCGTTTGGGAACAGTTGAACCGTAACCAAGTACATGGTTTGAACACAATTACCTTTTATCCTAACCTTTTAGACCTTAATAGTTTAATACCTAGCATATTAATATTTGTTTATTTATAAGTAAATTATTAAAGTACTTACATACATTTTCCTTCTCACTTAACAGACTTAGGACTGTCTATGAATATATTCATAGGTATGGTTAAAAATGCATGTTAATACTTGCTTTTTAATAATAATTGTTAATAAATTTATAATATGTTAAAAATGCATACAATATAATACTTGTTTGTGTAAATTTTAATTTTAATTTTAATATAATATGATTGATAAACGTGTCTATTATTTTCCGTAAAAACAGTTTTCCATTATTTTTATGTATTTCATTTGGTCTATTTCGCCAGATCTATATCTTGTCCATAAGTTTATGCGACGTTCGACTGATTCTATTGACTCCTTACTCCTTATTTTCGTGTGCRCAAACCAGTTGTAYATTTAATATAACTGTGTGCGCAAACGAGTTCCGATTTTTCAGGTAAAARWTGTAGAATGTGCGCAAACAAGTAGGTGGTGCTGGAGAAAAGTTTCCCCAGCCCCACGAGGGGAAAATTCGACTTTCCGGTAAAACCGTTAGAGCAGGAATTCTGGGCTTTGCGGCAGGAATTGAGCACTAATTACTGCTGCAAAGAAAATTGCAAAAATCAATTTGGGAGGGGGCTGGACGCTGGGGTAACGTACGTCTGACCTCCACTAATTAGAGCCTAGTCACCTACTTATTGCGGCAATTATATTGATGCTTGGACGCTTGATGTTTCTTTTTAAAAATATTGCATTGTTTTGCAGTTTGATACTTGTTTGTAATTTTGTATGCCACTAGAACATTGGTCAACAACTTTTTTTATGTCAAGGGCAAAAATATAAACATAACATTTTTTACGGACCGCAATTTGAAAATATTCAGCTAATTGTTTATTTTATTTTTAACAAAAATGTGTAGTCATATMAAATTAAATGTTTTTCTATTTCAATTCATAACTATTATCTACAAACAAAATTTCAACCTTATTTCGTGATTTTTATACAAATTTTAATTTTGCTCGTGAGACACATAGAATTACGATAAGGGCAGCATGTGACCCACGGGCCACGGGTTGCTGACCCCTGCACTAGAACAATGTGGCTTATGTAATCTGTAAATATAATATCTAAATCACTTACATAGTTAACCTTTTATGGATGACTATTTTTATGAAACTATTTTATGAGATTATCAACAAAATATGTTTTGTTCACGTATTACAGTAATCAGCAATTCTTTTATTGGAATAAATACAACAAAAATCTCAAAATCAATTATAATTAGTGTGGTTTCATCAAGTTGTTGAAATCTGCAGATACCTATTCAGGTACCTATTAATTTGATATAATATTGTAGTGTTATGAAGTCTTAGTAGTAAAACATTTAATTTAATATATTTAATTTCCTTTTTCTTTTTTTTTAAATCGATAATTCAAATAATTTCAATAAAATATTATAAATATGTATACATTTCAATATTGTGAGATTTAATCACGAATTTGTTTTAGAACGTTAACTAAAATTAAGTAACAACAAAAAAAGCATATAGGTAATGCCTGAAAATAAAGAAGCAGTTGTAATATCGGGTATTAGAGGATTGTTTCCAGAAATTAATAATATAACTGAATTGAGCGATTTGTTATTCAACAAAATAAGTGGAGTAACAATCGATTCAATAAGATGGAAACCAGTCATTTATAATTTTTTCAGTTCATTGCATTTTAATTAATTAAAAATTACATTTTAGATTCTGAGCGAAGCGATGAATGTATTGATTTTACCATGATGTGTGTGTGTTGTGTTGTGTTTTTTTTTTTTTGTGTCTATCATCACGTTTTGGGGCATCAAAAATGCTTCGATTTTTGACTTCAGTACCTCGTTCGATCAAAAAGTGAATCTAGTTGGTACTTTGGGGGATCAAAAGTGAAAATTTKTTAATACTTTTCTAAATAATCGAGAAAAACAAACTAAAAATTAAGGGAAAACGGGAAATTTTACGCATACTCATTTTTTGACAAAATCGATTTTGGTTTTTGATGTMACTTTAAAACCAATGACCATAGATACATGAAATTTTGACCGAATGTTTATATAGGCATTTTATATATTTGATAAAATTTTCAAAATATTTAGATTTGTTTAGACCTGTTTACTGACATTTTAATTTTTCAACTTTTTTAGTTTTTTTTTCTATAAATATCGATAAAAATTTATTTGTTCGGTAGAAAAGCTTAAAAATGTAATACAAGACTCCTGACATATTTTTATAATAGCAGTTAAAAAATATTAAAAATTCGTAGGCACGATTTTTTTTATTAAGCATTTAAGGTTCA